TGTGGGTTGGATAGCCCAAAGCTTCTGTGGGCTGGATAGCCCAAAGCATTTCTGTGGGCTGGATAGCCCAAAGCTTCTGTGGGCTGGATAGCCCAAAGCATTTCTGTGGGCTGGATAGCCCAAAGCTTCTGTGGGCTGGATAGCCCAAAGCATCCCTGTGGGCTGGATAGCCCAAAGCATCCCTGTGGGCTGGATAGCCCAAAGCATGTCTGTGGGCTGGATAGCCCAAAGCATTTCTGTTTTGTGATTTGTGGTGTGACCAGAAGTGGGGCTCAAAAACCCTGGAAAAGCGCCCAGAGAACCACCTGATCGCCATGGAGGGCAAGGGCAAGAAGGGTGAGGAGAGCAAGGGCAAGAAGGGCTGGGTGGAGAACACCAGTGGCAAGGGAATGCCTTCAGGTGCAGGAGGAGGAGGCAGTGCTGTCTGGAGACAGAACATGAGGGCCCTGATGGAGTTCCACAACCCTGGCATGGATGTGGGCATGTGGCTGCTCCAGATCTGCCTGTACACCCAATCCCACACTGGGATTAACAAGGCAGACTGGGAAAGCTCCAGGATGTTCCTCCAGAGGGTCAAGAAGGAGGTGGCACCAGGACTGGGTTGGGCAGGAAAGAAACCACCACAGGATTCTGCACAATTTTCTTGGGCTGCATAACCATGTTTTATGTTGGGGGTAAATAAGTTTAAGCTATTAAAACATATTATTGCACATATAAAATTGTGGTTGTTGGGCTGGATAGCCTTCAGTTTTTAGGCTGGATAGCCTTGAGCCATAACCATGCACATTCACCAATTTCCTGCTCCCTGGCAGAAATGGTGGAGCAAGATTTCTACGAAATCATGGTGGAGAGGATGAATGAAGCAGTCCTGGGAGCTGCGGCAGCAGCCCAATTAGGGCATGGTGTCAACCCATGGGCAGCCACAGCCAACCAAGGAGTGACAAGCAAGGCTGCTGGAGCACCACCCACAGGAGGAGCCACTGCACCACCACCAACTGCAAGAGTCTGGGGAGCCCCCACAGGCACAGGAGCACCAGCCTCCACAGGCACAGGAACACCAGCCCCCACAGGCACAGGAGCACCAGCCCCCACAGGCACCACAGGCACAGGAGCACCAGCTTCCACAGGCACAGGAGCACCAGCTGCCACAGGCACAGGAGCACCAGCCCCCACAGGCACAGGAGCACCAGCAGCCACAGGCACAGGAGCACCAGCCACAGCCACAGCAGCACCAGCTGCCAGAGCCACAGGAGCACCAGCTTCCTCAGCCACAGGAGGAGAAGCAGCACCAGCAGCAGATCCAACAGCCACAGGAGGTTTCAGCACTGCACCCTGGAACAACCCAGGAGCAGGCAAGGGATCAGGAGGAGGGAGGAGCACAGAGGAGCCACCCTTTTCTGCAGCCCCGGCAGCAAACACAGGGGAGGGGTCAGAGTGGGGCTGGAATGACTCAACCTGGGCTGGTTGGAGTGAGTCCTGGGATGGAGGATGGAACCAAGGATGGGATCAAGATGGCAGCTGCACAGGAAGTTGGGGAGCAGGAGGAGACCAGGGACAAGATTTACCATGGGCAGAAAAGATTTTTGGTTGCTGATCAATATGTTTTTATAGATTTACTTTATTTTTTTCACCACCAAAAAAAAACAAACAAACAACAATTCCTTTTGCCCAGGAGTCCTGAAGAGCTCGAGGACTGGGAAGGGGGAGACAACACCTTCTGGAATGTGATTGAGTCCATGGATCTGGACTATGTGGTGACCCATTGCCAGCTTGGCTGCATTAATCTGTTTGGCTGGACAGCCAATTCTTGGGCTGGAGAGCCTTGAAAACCTTTTTAGGCTGGATAGCCTTGAAAAAAGTTTTTGGCCTGGAGAGCCCACAATTTCACCTGAGCCATTCCCAGGCAAGGAATGCTATCACACCAGCTATGTCACCAAGAAGTCTTGCCTGAGGAGTGCCAAGTGCCAAGGTTGCATGAGAACTTTGGCTGCAACTGGGCTGGCTAGCCACACCTGGGCTGGATAGCCCATCAGTCATGGATAGGCTGGATAGCCTTACTGCCCATCCCAGGATATGGATGCAACAGCTACAGGGGCCGCTCCAAGACTGTAGACTTCATTCGACAAGTGAGGAGAGCTGGGCAATGGGATCTGCTTAGTGAGATTGAAAAGGCCTACAAATAGGCAAGCCCTGGTACAGAAACATGGCTGGTCTGGAAAGTCCAAAATTCAAACCAACAAAAAACACATATATTTTTTGTTTTGCTGAAAAATCCAGCCATTTCAAAGAGGGCAAGCCTACCAAAGCAGACTGGCTGGGCTGGAGAGCCCAAAATAAATTACAACAAATGACATTAACCTCACAATATTTAGGTTTTTGTTTGATGGGAAGCTCAGCCAGTCAGATGAGGCCCTGTACCATATTTTCTAAACACCCGATCAGCTGAGGAGTTGTGAGGGTACATGTTTTTAAATGCAAGGGACAAGAACTTTGGGACCCTCTGCACAGTCAAGACTTTGGCGAGAAAAAATGCTGCTGGAACCATGGGGGGATGTGAAGGGATTGGGCTGGATAGCTGGAGGCTTTGGGCTGGAGAGCCCCTGCAATAATTGAAAACCCACCCAGTATTGATAATTTATGGGCTGGACAGTCCATAAAATGGCATGAGGAGTAGCCCACTCACTATTTCAAACCTATTGGCTGGAGAGCCCATTACATATTTCAAATCTATGGGCTGGAGAGCCCATTAAATATTTAAAATCTACAGTATTGGCTGGAGAGCCAATTAAATATGTAAAATCTTTGGGCTGGAGAGCCAGCTAATTATTGAAAAATTCTGAGTTGGAGAGCCTATGGGATATTCTAGGCATAGCCCATTCTATATATGAAATCTATGGGCTTGAGTTCCAAGTAAAGAATTTAAAATCTATTGGCTGGATAGCCAATTATTTTACATATAGATTTTTGGGATAGCCTTGATCCAAACAATTTTTTTTCTTGGGCTGGATAGCCCTGACAAAAAAAAGGCTGAGCAGCCTTGAAAAAATAGATTTAAACAAAACTACAAAAATATCACATGAACACCCATGAACACCCATGAACACCCATGAACACCCATGAACACATTCACATGAACACCCCTGAATTCACATGAACACACCTGAAAATCTATGAATCTGAAATATTTTTAAAAAACAAATAAAAAAAACATTTTTTTTCTTTCGAGAAAAAATCATTGTATATTTAATTTTCTGTTTTTTTGCCAATGTATACTTTGGGCTGGACAGCCCCTTGAGCCAAAACAATAAGTACCATTTGCAATAACTATTTTGGACTAGGTATTTGAGCCAGAACAAACACCAACACTTATTTTTTTGGCTGGATAGCCATCAATTTCTTGGGCTGGATAGCCCATTGAGCCACAAAAAAAACACAACACATGTGATTTGATTTGGCCTCAACTTGAGCAATCTGCTTCAAAATCCAGAAAGCTTTTGGCCCCAAGAGAAAACAAAGACCACAGCCATAGCAATGAAGAGGCCAGCAGCAGCAGCAGGCCTCAAGAGGCCAGCTGCCAAGGCAGAGGAAGAGGATACACCTGAGGGTGCTCACCAGCCACTCACAGCTCAAGCAGTCAAGGACCACAACAAGTTTTGTGAGGAGGCAGCCCAAATGTCCAGTTCTCAGTTTGAGAAGGCATTGAGCTGCTTAGATGAGAAGGCTGCAATGAGGTTGTGGAAGGCTTTTGAAAAGCCCAGGAAAAGCTCTGGGGCCCAGGAGGAGTACAAAGCCACCACCAGTGAGTCAGTGGGAAGCCTTGCCAAGAAGCGAAAACTTCTGTTTGGCTGGGTGTGTGATGGGCAGACCACAGGTGAACACTACAAGGCAATGGTGGACAAGGTCTCTTTGAAGAAAAGTGAAGGAGTCACCAGCACCTGGCTCACAAAGGCCCAGGCACTGGCACACTGGGGGAAAGAAGAGTTGCAGGAGAGGGTGGCTTCTGGAAGTATAGTTGCCAGGAAGGATCCAGCAGATCCCAATTACTGGCAGTTCAGGGCCAACACTGAGCAGTCTCAGGTGAATGTGACCAGGGAACAAGCTTTCACTTTTGAGAAGAAGAACAAGAGCAACCTGAAGGAGCTGGAGCAGGTAATGAGGAGCAAGGGCTTAGAGAAGCTCACAGAAGCAGACTTCTGTGCCCCAAGTGAAGAGAGTGGTGAAGACAGTGATGGGCTGCCAGCTGGCCTCTCTAAGGCTTTGGGCACCAAGTCTGACAAGAGCAAGAAGGAGAAGAAGGAGAAAAAAGAGAAGAAAGAAGGCAAGAAGGACACGTGGGAGGAGATGAGCACTGTGCAGGAGGAAGATGGCCAAGCACAACTCCTCAACAGGCTGATGGCTTTCAAGGTGGAGCTCACCAAGGACTTGGCAACCTTGGATGGCTTGTGCCACTCTAAGGACATGCCCAAGGCACTCCTGAAGGATGTTGCCAAGACCCAGAAGGAAGGCCAAGAGGTTTTGACCTTGGTGGGGAAGCTCCACAAAGATAAGGGCAAGAAGAAGGAGGTGGTCCCAGCCTTGCAGAAGGCCTTTGCTGTGCTGAAAAAGCTGAAAGCTAAGAAGCTGCTCGTGTCAAAAGCCTTGAAGGCTTAAACACTTTTTGAAGCAGAGCAGGGGTGCCCACCAAGTGTTGAACTGAACACATAAAATGTCTGTAGTTGAGATCATAAGTGGCACCCCTGGCCAAAGTTTTGCGATGGCAGACTGGCAAACTCAACCCCAAGCTGCTCTTGAAAGCAAAAAGGTCAGCTGGGAAGCCCTTTGCCTTTGCTGGGCTGGACAGCCCTTGTTACCATTGTTGGGCTGGATAGCCCTTGAATTGGGCTGGACAGCTCTTGTTATCATTGTTGGGCTGGAGAGCCCTTGACATGGCAATTGGGCTGGACAGCCCTTGTTAAAGCTGAATGAAGTTGCCCCTTTAGCTGCTCAAAAGTTGTGGAGAAATGGACCCATGTCCTTTGTGGGTGCTGTTGCTCAAGAAGTTCAGCATAGGAAAGCTGTCAGCCATAGAAGTGCAGGAGCTTGCTTCAGCAGCAGTTAAGAGTGGGCTGGAGAGCCAGTGTGTGGGGAAGTTGGCTGAGCTTGGGGCTTGTGGGCATTCACCTGGCAATTGCCACAGAGACTTGGTGAGAAAGTATTTTCGCTTTCTAGAAGCTCCAGATCCCTGGGAGGTGTATGGCCCCCTGGCTGTGAAGAAGGGTGGCCATAGAGTAGAGCAGGTGACTGCCATTCACCTCCTGCTACCTCACCACTGGGTCCTTCAGGCTGAAGAGAACAACTTCTTGAAGAGTTTGTGCTGCAAGGATGAAGAATTAGTTGCTTTCTGGAAGAGCCAATCTTCATGCCCCCAGATGACAGCTGAGCTGAAGAAAGTGATTGAAACATCACAACCAAGCCAGCTTCCAGTGCCATACCTTTTGCATGGAGATGCAGCGCCCTTCACAGAGGTGGACAGCATCCAGGTGCTCAGCTTCAGGCTTGGCTTCCTTTCCTGCTTTGGGCTGGATAGCCCTTGCCTGCATGTCCACCTTGGCTGCTATGTTTTGCCTCATTGGGCTGGATAGCCCTTGGGCTGGATAGCCCTGGGCTGGATGCCATGTGCCCTGAAGGTGCTTGCTTTCCAGCAAGGCAGTGACCCAGAGCCAGATGCTAATCGCAGCTGTGCCCAAGGCTGCCATGACCAAGGAGACCCCCAAGAAGCTGATGGAAGTTTTGGTCTTGGAAAGTGCTGTGGGATGGTGTGGTGCCCAAAAAAGATGAGGCAGGGATGCCCACAGAGAAATACAAGGGGAAGAGAATGAGGAGGGGAGTGCTATGGTCAGTGAGTGGAGATTTAGAATGGTTTGCAGCTGAGTTTGGTTTCCCTTATGCTGCAGCCAACCTTCTCTGCCCCTATTGCAATGCAGACCAATGCAAAGAAGACAGCCCCAGGCCTTTCACAGATTTCAGGCAAACCGCAGCCTGGAGAGCCAGTGTGCTGTCACCGAGCAAATTCAAGGAGAAGTTTGGAGCACACCCACTCTTCAGAGCTCCATGTGTGACCCCTTTGTCCATTAGGCTGGACATTTTGCACATCCTGGACCTTGGTGTAGCAGCATATGCACATGGATCTTTGCTTTTTAGCATCATGGAGAAGTTGCCAGGAGCTTCCAGATTTTTGCCAGCAATAGCAGCTTCATTTTTTTTCGGCTGGATAGCCCCAATATAGTGTGTGCAAGCAAACAATTTTTGGCCAGCTGAGGAGCTGTCAGGCTAACCAACCTGAACAAGAAGATAGTGGAAGCCTATGACAAGCTGGGGGTGGCAGCCCAAAAGAGGATCAAGCACCTGTCTTTGTCAGACCTGGCTGAGAGTGCAGAAGAATACCCTTGCCTCAAGCACATCAAAGGAGCTAAAATTCGCTATTTTGCCCCAGTAGCTTTGGAGCTGGCCAAGGAGTACAGCATGGACAAGGCTGGGAAGCACAGGGAAGCATTGGCAAAGCAGTTGGTCAAGGCATACCAAGTCTTAGAGTGCAGCTGGCAAGAATGGCGGTTTGAAACTTTCAAGAAGGCAGTGGATGATTTCATGGCCCACTACAGCTGGCTGGCAGCCAATGCCTTGGAGGAAGGCTTGCACCTTTGGAGTTTAGTGCAGAAATCCCATGTTTTGCTCCATTTAGCAGAGCAAAGCAAATTCATGCACCCCAGCCTGAACTGGACATATGGGAGTGAATCTTTCATGGGCTGGATAGTCCAAATCGCTTCAAGCTGCACAAGTGGCACTCCAGCTGAGAAGCTTCCCTTGAAGGCCTTGCAAAAATTCAGGCTTCTGTTTCACCTTTACCTGAAAGGGTACATCTCGCTGGATGATGATGATGGGAGGTGAGCAAAAAAGAATTGCTTCAGTTCTGTCTTGGTAGGCTGGACAGCCTTTGCAGTCCTGCAGGAAGGAAGGTTGATAGGCTGGACAGCCTCTTGGATTCCACACAAGTTTTGAATGGTTGAGGCTGGAAAGCTTTCTCCACAGCCCTTTCTGGTTCTGGTAGCCCTGCCCAAAAAAGAGAAGCTCCTGTGCCATGGAAGCAGTGCCCAAGAGAAGGAAAGTGAGCTGGGTGAAGGCTGAGGAGACAGCTGACCCAGAGCTTTGGGCTGCAGGCTGGAGGCTGGACCCAAATGAGGATAGCCAAGTCATGTGCCCCCACCAGAAGAAGATGAGCAAGGAGAAGATGGGCAAGGAGATGGGCAAGGAGAAGAAAGCCTACAAAGAGAAGAAGAAAGGAAAGAACCTGAAGAAAATTAGGTGTACAAAGCAGGGCTGCTGTGGACTACCAAAGCTAGCCCCAGGGGAAAAAGGTTGCTCCCACTGGCTGCCTTGCCATGGGCTGGACAGCCCCAAGTTGTGGGCTGGAAGTGGGCACACAATTTCCCATTGGGCTGGACAGCCCCATCACCACCACATGGGCTGGACAGCCCCACCATGGGCTGGACAGCCCCATCATGGGCTAAGCCTCTAAGCCTCTAATGTCTGGAGGCAGCCTGTAGCCTCTAATGTCCGGAGGCAGCCTGTAAGCCTCTAAGCCTCTAAGTCTCTAATGTCCGGAGGCAGCCCGTAAGCCTCTAAGCCTCTAAACGCCTCTAAGCCTCTAAGCCTCTAAACGCCTCTAAGCCTCTAAGCCTCTAAACGCCTCTAAGCCTCTAAACGCCTCTAAGCCTCTAAACGCCTCTAAGCCTCTAAACGCCTCTAAGCCTCTAAACTCTAAACGCCTCTAAGCCTCTAAGCCTCTAAACGCCTCTAAGCCTCTAAACGCCTCTAAGCCTCTAAGCCTCTAAGCCTCTAAACGCCTCTAAGCCTCTAAACGCCTCTAAGCCTCTAAGCCTCTAAAGCCTCTAAACGCCTCTAAAGCCTCTAAGCCTCTAAACGCCTCTAAGCCTCTAAACGCCTCTAAGCCTCTAAACGCCTCTAAGCCTCTAAGCCTCTAAACGTCTCTAAGCCTCTAAACGCCTCTAAGCCTCTAAACGCCTCTAAGCCTCTAAGCCTCTAAACGCCTCTAAGCCTCTAAACGCCTCTAAACGCCTCTAAGCCTCTAAACGCCCCTAAGCCTCTAACCTCTAAACGTCTCTAAACGCCTCTAAGCCTCTAAACGCCTCTAAGCCTCTAAACGCCTCTAAGCCTCTAAACGCCTCTAAACGCCTCTAAGCCTCTAAGCCTCTAAGCCTCTAAACGCCTCTAAGCCTCTAAACGCCTCTAAGCCTCTAAGCCTCTAAACGCCTCTAAGCCTCTAAACGCCTCTAAGCCTCTAAACGCCTCTAAGCCTCTAAGCCTCTAAACGCCTCTAAGCCTCTAAGCCTCTAAACGCCTCTAAACGCCTCTAAGCCTCTAAACGCCTCTAAGCCTCTAAGCCTCTAAGCCTCTAAGCCTCTAAACGCCTCTAAGCCTCTAAACGCCTCGAAGCCTCTAAACGCCTCTAAGCCTCTAAACGCTTCTAAGCTTCTTGACATCTCTCAGCCTCTTGTTGCCTGTCAGCTTCGAAACGTCTCTAAGACATGCCATTTTGAACAAAACAAACAATTTGAAATATCTTAAACTTCTCTTTCGCGACCTTTCGCGAAGCAAATTACTTTCGCGATCTTTCGCGACCCAGCATTTCTGTTTCGCGAAAGTGATGTAGTATAACTCCCTTACATAAACAATACATTGAGGTTTTTTCGTGGCTCAAATGATGATGATGATGATGATGATGCTGATGCTGATGATGATGATGATGCTGATGATGATGATGTTTATCTGATAGCCTTGTTGGTAGATGTTCCCTCACAGATGTGACAAGACTCTTAGCTTACTAGTACCCAATGCTGTTTTCAACATGAAATCTCTATAGAATTGCTGACACCAACGTCCACGATAAAATCGCAAACCTTGACGTTGGACAGGTACCCCTAAAAAATTCCAAGGGGGATCGTTAGAGTCTATTCTCTTCTGCTAGGCTAGCGGCCTGTCCTGTTCCGTTCGGATCCATCCTTTCCGTTACAAGAGTCTTCCGCTAAGAGTCTTCCGTTCGGGTCTATCCTCTTCCGTTGAAGCCTACCTTCTTCCGTCAGAGTCTGACCTCTTCCGTCAGAGCCTGTCCTCTTTCGTTCAAGCCCTGTCTTGTTTCGTTCGACTCCTCACATTCGTTTGCAACCTCTCTCTTTCGTTAGACTCCTCCTGGCTTTCAATCGAAGTCCTTCTTTCGTTTCAATGTTTAGCGGGCCTGATCCCCCATACTCTGTTTCTCTCAGAGTATGGGGGATCAGGCCCGCTAAGGTTTGCCAAGCCTCAAAGCTGCAAAGCCTCTTTGGCGCTTCACGCCTCAAAGCTTCAAAGCCTCAAAGCTGCAAAGCCTCTTTGGCGCCTCACGCCTCAAAGCCTCAAAGCTCCAAAGCCTCTCTGGCGCCTCACGCCTCAAAGCCTCAAAGCCTCAAAGCTGCAAAGCCTCTTTGGCGCCTCACGCTTCAAAGCCTCAAAGCCTCAAAGCCTCAACGCTTGGATGCTTTTGCGCTTTGGCGCTTTGGCGCTTTGGCGCTTGGCGGCTCTTTCAGGCTTTGGCGCTTCTTGACGCTTTTCCGACGCCTCAAAGCCTCAAAGCCTCAAAGCCTGAACACTTGGATGCTTTGGCGCTTTAGCGCTTTGGCGCTTGGCGGTTCTTGCACACTTTGGCGCTTCTTGACGCTTTTCCGACGCCTCAAAGCCTCAAAGCCTCAAAGCCTGAACGCTTGGATGCTTTGGCGCTTTGGCGCTTTGGCGCTTTGGCGCTTGGCGCTCTTGATGCTTTGGTGCCTCTTGGCCCTTTGGCGCTTTGCGGCTCTTTGACGCTTTGGCGCTTGGCGCTCTTGATGCTTTGGTGCCTCTTGGCCCTTTGGCGCTTTGCGGCTCTTTGACGCTTTGGCGCTTCTTGGCGCTTTGAGACTTCGCGGCTCTGTGACGCTTTGGCACTTTGCAGCTCTTTGAGACATGCCATCTTGGGGGGAAAAAAGTGATTTTGTAGATTTTACTTTTTTTCAAGCACCGATTGAAACATAGGTATAAAAGCGGTTTCGGAGAAAAAACAAAGGGCCAGATTGTTTGTATTTGAGGGCCAGCGCTCACCTGCAGCCAGCGAACTTACGACTACCTGTTTAGTAATTTTTGTGGGTTGTTTAATGATGGTTTACCTTAGTAGGGGATTAACAAGCGTGGTTTGTAAGTCGCCGTTTCGCGGGTCATAACATCTTTGAGTGTGTTATAACTTATAACTTTGCTTATTGAGCATGTCATCATTGATGAAAAGGGTATATTCTAACTGGTGGAGGTTTGAATTCCATCGTCATACCTATATCAGATCTTATAAACCAGGCCCTGCGGAGTTTTGAAGCCGACCATCAATAGATTGGTTGAAGGAAAAATCTCCATCTTGACCAGAGTCTTAATCTTGTTTTTGCTGTTGCGGTTTTTGTTTTTGTAAGGCAAGGACGAGAACTTGCAGCGTATCATCCAACATGTCTGGGGACAAGACCTGACAGCGTAGCACCCCAGATGATTGAAAGTTAAGGACAGGTCTTACAGCGTGTTATCCAAGATGGTTGAAAGTTAAGGACAAGATCTTACACCGTACAATCCATAATGATTGAAAGTTAAGGACAAGGCCTTTCAGCATAGCATCAAACATGTTTGAAAGTTAAGGACAGAATCTTGCACCGTAACATCCAAGATGCTGGAAAGTTAAGGAGAGGATCTTGCAAAGTAGCATCAAGCATGTTTAGAACTTAAGGACAAGACCTGACACCGTTGCATCAAAGGTGTTTGAAGATTAAGGGCAAGGTCTTACAGCGTGGCATCCCAGATTCAAGATGTTTGTAATTCATGGACAAGATTTTAGAGCATATCATCCAAGATGTTCAAAGTTAAGGACAAGCGCTTCGAGCGCAGCGTCCAAGATGATTGAATGTCAAGGGCACGATCTTACACCGTAACACTCAAGATGATTGAATGTAAAGGATAAAGTCTTACTCCATAGCAACCAAAATCATACAAGATGATTGAAAGTTCAGTACAAGATCTTCTTGGGCAGCATCCAGATCTTCCAAGAACTTGTTATTATTTATCTTGTTCTCGTTTTCGTTCGTGTTCTTGTTGTTAATGTTGTTATCGCTGTTCTTGCTCTTGTTGTTTAACTATTGTGTTTTGTTATTGTTATTTTGTTCTTGTTGTTGCTGCTGCTGTTGTTGTTGCTGATGTTGTGGTTCTTGTTTCTAATCTTGTGGTTATGGTTCTTTCTCTTGTTCTTGTTCGTCAAGGACAAGAACTTACAGCGTATCATCCAACATGTTTGAGGGTTAGGGACAAGACAAACAGAATCTTGGAGCGTAGCATCCGACATGTTTGAAGGTTAAGGACAAGATCTTGCTTCGTAGCAACAAAGATTTGCAAGTCAAGGACAAAATCTTACACGGTAGCACCCCAGATGATTGCAAGATCAGGCTGCGATCTGACAGCGTAGCATCAAGGATGATCGAAAGTTAAGGACAAGATCTGACTCTGTAGCGCCCAAGATGTTTGAAAGCACAAGATCTTACGCCGAAGCACCAATGATGTTTGTAATTTATGGACAAGATCTTACATGCTTGCATCCAAGATGTTTGAAGGCTAAGGACAACAGCTTACAGCGTACCATCCAACACCCCCTTACAGCGTATCACCCAACATGTTTGCAAGTTAAGGACAAGGCTTACACAGTAGCATTCAAGAGGATTGAAAGTTCAGGGCACGATCTTACACCGTAGCATCAAAGGTGATTGAAAATTAAGGGTAAGATCTTACAGCGAAGCATCCAAGATGTTTGTAATTCATGGACAAGATTTTAGAGCATATCATCCAAGATGTTCAAAGTTAAGGACAAGCGCTTCGAGCGCAGCGTCCAAGATGATTGAATGTCAAGGGCACGATCTTACACCGTAACACTCAAGATGATTGAATGTAAAGGATAAAGTCTTACTCCATAGCAACCAAAATCATACAAGATGATTGAAAGTTCAGTACAAGATCTTCTTGGGTAGCATCCAGATCTTCCAAGAACTTGCTATTATTTCTCTTGTTCTGGTTTTCGT